AACGAGAAGCTCTGCTCCAACAAACACTTTCAAATTTAAATAACGGGCAGATTTATCATGAGGCTATAAATATCAAGACCTAACAAGAGCAGAAAGAAGAGAAGTGAAGCAACGAGCAATAAGCAAAAGCGAACTTACATATCTTCCTGTACAATCTTGTATATTTGTGTAAATCTAAGATAGCTTATCTTAGCGAGTGTTGAGACTATCTTATCTCTTTGTGAGAGTAATACACACAATCAAAACACATATCTCTGTAAAACTAAGGTTGTATACCTTAGCGAGTGTAGAAACCATCCTATCTTCTCTGTGAGAGTTATACTAGTACTGACGAGTGAAGTTGGCAAACCAGGAGTGGTTAATGATACTTGGGAAACTAGAAGTGGTTTAAGAATACTAGCACTGACGAGTGGAGTTGGCGAACCAGGAGTGGTTGATAATACTTGGGGAACCAGAAATGGTTTAAGAATACTAGCGCTGACGAGTGAAGTTGGCAAACTAGAAGTGGTTGATAATACTTGTAATCCGTTGTGATTAGTGGAACCCTTTGGTTGAAGGAGATTGGACGTAGCTTAGGTTGAGCGAACCAGTATAAAACTCTTTGCACTTTTTATCTATTTCTTAGAAGCAATTTTGTTTAGCTGATATATTATACTGAAAATTTTGTCCACTACTTATTTGTCACTACAACTATCGTCAAACGGAAAATACACTTGCTTAACTTATTATTTTAAGAAACATTTTCCTTGTGCAGACGATAAACTCTCAAATACAAAATCTTTTGTTAAGCCAACCTTGCACAGTTTTTAAATGTTCAAAATAATATTTTTATTAGATGAAAAAAAGTCTATTTGCTCTCAGGGCCGTAACTTGGGGTCACCACTTCCTGGGTAGACTACGAAGCAATTTGTCAATATGATCAAAATTATCATAGGTCTTACCTAGAAAAGAAAATTCATTAATGATAGTTTGAAATCTTCCAAATATAGTTTGGATAGATTCGTTCTCTTCCATCTTGAAGAGTTCATACTTACGGACCAACAAGCTTAGCTTGTTGCGTTTTACCTCCAGGGATCCCTCATAGGTTATGGCTAGGGTATCCCACATTTGTTTGGTACTTCTGAAACTGTGCACTTTGGTATATTCTTCCTCAATCAGAGCACACATGAGTTCATTTTAGGCTTTGGAGTTCAGCATGAATCTTTGTTTTTGCCCCTCATTCCAGGCTGCCTTGGGTATCTCTCTATCAGCCTCGTCAAACGAAATGTAGTCTCCCTGTTCTACAACCTCCCACATGTCTATATGGCATGCATCAGAGAATGTAATCATTATATTTGTTTCTAGTAGTCGTAGTTGGTGCCTCTGAAGATAGGTGGGCGATTCACCGCCTATCCTTTATTTTCCATTGATTGTACCCATGCAATGTTAGATGCTCAACCCTAGGGGTCAAGCTCTGATACCAAATGAAGTTTAGTGGAAAACACACAGAAGGGGGGTTGAATGTGTGTGAATGAAGGATTTTAAAAATGTTTTCGCGAGGGTGCTTCTTTCCGTTAGAAAGTAATATTTCAAGTACTCAAAAGAATGAGCGATATTGATTAAAAGAAACTTTGTGTATGAAGATCTATCGTCTGCCCAAAAATAGTTTAGTAAGTAAACCAGATGTAATTTCATCTAAATATTGTTTAGAAGAATGAGCAGCAATACACAAAGTTTTTCAATGTAATAAATCAATATAAGTAAAATTGCTTTTCTAAATCAAATAATAATGTATAGAGTTTTTATACTAGTTCACTCATTTTGAGCTACGTCCAGTCTCCTTCAAATGAAGGGTTCCACTAATCACAATAAATTACAAGTATTCTTAACCATTTCTAGTTCGTCAACTTCACTCGCTGACGCTAGTATTCTTAAACCACTTCTGGTTGCCCGAGTATTCTCAACCACTCTTGGTTCGTCAACTTCACTTGCTGGCGCTAGTATTCTTAAACCATTTCTGGTTGTCCAAGTATTCTTTTACAAGCCTCTTCAGGCTTTACAGACGATTGTTGTTTTGAGTGTGTATGTGACTCTCACAAAGAGGATGGAATAGTTTCTACACTCACTAAGGTATTCAACCTTAGTTTTACAAGAATGTGTTTAGAGTGTGTATCTAACTCTCACTGAAAGGATGGAATAGTTTCTACACTCACTAAGATAAACTATCTTAGTTTTACACGAATATTCAAATCTGAAAAAGAAGAGTTGTGAGATTATTTTTTATGCTTGTTTTTTCTTATTGCTTGTTGCTTCTCTTCTCTATTTCGTTTCTTCTCAGTCTTGTTATTTATAGCCTTGTGATAAATCTGCCCATTGTTTAAATTTGAATATGCCCGTTGAGGTGGAGCTTTCTGTTGGTGTAGATGATTGCTCGTTCATGGCTACACAGATCTTTTTCATTTAATGCGTTTGATTTTGCATTAAATGTTTTGCTTATGTTGTATACGTTTGCTTAATTTGTATAGGGAAATCTTGAGTTAATCTTCGCTTAGTTGGTTAAAATGGATGGAACAAGGATTAAGTGGTTAATAGAGTAATCTTATTGTGAACCAAGGATAAAAGAGTTACAATCCGAACAAGGAGCCAACCTATTTTACTTGCTGTGTTATCTGCGTTTTATTATGTTATAAGCTAAAAAAATCTGAACAACCAAACCCCCCTCCCTTCGTGTTTAATTTAAGCCTTTTACAGAAAAAAAATGGTCCTTGGGAGACGACCTAGGACAACTTCCTAGTACTGCATTTGAATTGTTTTATTTGACCGGATACGGCTTCGATCAAAACTCTCATCAGACGCTTCTTCCTGTTAAGTGAGACGAAGCAATTCCCAGCAAGGTTTTGAATTTGACAAATATAATACATATTGTTATTACTAACCTGTGTAGTAGTGTTTCAGATATGTATAAGAACAAGCAAAACTAAAGCATGAAGCAAGGTCGAGCAAAACAAAGATCAGACAAAACAAGCCAAATGATAGAAGGATCATGACTTGTGCACCAGATGACAACAAATACCAAACGAAGACATGTCAAGAACAATCCAGAGCGCAATATAAGAAATCTTTTTTCTACTTATGTATATATATTTTTTAAATTATCTTTATATTGTTTCTCTTTTTTTAATTATTATACATATACCTTTTAAATAATTACAATACATGTCTTATATTATTTCTTTCTTCTAATTAACATTCATATATTTTATTAACCAATTAGAGTGCATGCTCATTAAAAAGTTTATAATTAATATATTTTAACAAATAAAAAAAAATACTTTAATTAAGAGTATGTTAGTGTTACATAAAGAAACAAACAATTATTTTAAATTGAATATTATAAATAGGAATGAAAGTGATATTTTTTATAAAAAAAATTAATTCTACATTTTCTTTTACCGGTTCTCACTTATTTTGAGTTGAATTAATTTTTTTTTTAAGAAACAGATTGATTTTCAGTCAAACTGTCGCCTATTTAATTTTTAAAACTAAATATTTATATAAAAGACATGAATTTTGCATGTATAAAACATTTAATTTGAGCTCCTTTCAAATAAATAGACATAATATTATTATCACTTAATCAACTATAACATCTCTATCACTTCTTTTAAGAAATATATTAACGACATAGTCCTTAATTAATGCACACTTAATAAGCTTAAATTATCCAATCTAATATTGTTTACATCTTGGATGGAACTATTAGCGTACTCTTATTTTAAATATTTAATATAATTATATATTAAAATTAATTAGTAAAATTTAAATAAAATAATTTTATAATATTAGTTCTTTTTACCATAATATTAATAAAAGTATTTTTTAACTTTGTCAGAAATTAATCTTGTTTAATATATTTGATTGTATTAAAATTATTATTGTTAGATCCTTTTTTATCAAATTTAAAATTTGAATTCATGGTCTTAAGATTTGATGATCAATTATATCATGAGTTGGACCAATTATTAATTACACTCTAATTTTATTTATTTTTAAGTTTACTGAGTTAAATATCACATTATCTATAAGTAAATATGATCGTCTGTTTTTCCTCAATTACCAAAAAAAAATGTCATCGTCTTTTCAACCGGTGACCTCGATCATTACCACGTGTCAGTGGAGTAAAACAAAAATGATGAATACTATTATACGTTTTATCCTATAATTATAATTATATATATATATAT